CCCTCCTCCTCCTCCTCCTCCTCCTCCTCCTCCTCCTCCTCTTCCTCCTCCTCCTCCTCCTCCTCCTCCTCCTGCGTGCCAGGAGCAGCGCAAGCGCTGGTGGGGGAACAGCGCGAGCGCTGTGGGGAGGAGCAGCGCAAAGCGCTGGAGGGGGGAGGAACAGCGCAAAGCGCTGGATAGCGTCAAAAGCGCGGGTGGGGGAACAGCGCAAGCGCCCGGGGGTAGGAGCAGCGCAAAGCGCTGGATGGGGGGAGGAGCAGCGCAAAGCGCTGTATAGCGCCACGAACCTGAAACATGAAGCGCCGGCAGCGCAAAACGCTCGAGAAAGAAAACGTCAATACAACGCTATGGGGGGGCAGGCATAACGTATTTTTTGTTTTAGCAAAATTACTCACTGCGTGGAGCTCCCCATATTTGCATCTCATGTTTTATGTCATGCCATAATGAGCGTCAGTTCGTGAGCGCACTGACGAGCAAAACGCCTGAAACATCCCCACATTATGGCCGCGAACGGGCCCGTCTCCTACCCCCTGGCGGCTCTCCTTACGGATGCTTGTTGAGCATGAAAACGAGCAAGCCGCCTGAGCCATTCCCACAAACTGGCCGCGAACGGGCCCGTGTCCTACCCCCTGGCGGCTCCCCGTACGGGTGCTGAAACCAGCGCCCCGCCTGCGACACCTTCAAAATCGACCCTGAAAGCCAAGGATGTTGGGCATGAGCACGAGCAAACCGCCTGAGACATCCCCACAAACTGGCCGCCAACGGGCACGTGTTCTACCTCCTGGCGGCTCCCCGTTGGGGTGCTGAAAACAGCGCCCCGCCTGCGACACCCTCAAAATCGACCCTGAAAGCCAAGGATGTTGGGCATGGGCACGAGCAAACCGCCTGAGACATCCCCACAAACTGGCCGCGAACAGGCCCGTGTAAACACCCTTGGCGGTTCCCCTTAGGGGTGCTGAAACCAGCGCCCCGCCTGAGACATCCTCAAACCCTGCTATGAAAGCCAAGGGTGTTGGACACGACCACGAGCAAACCGCCTGAGACATCCCCTACAAACTGGCCGCTTACTGGCCCGTGCGAACACCCCTGGCGGCTCCCCTTAGGGGTGCTGAAACCAGCGCCCCGCCTGAGGCATCCTCAAAATCTGTTCTGACAACCAAAGGTGTTGGGCATGAAAACGAGCAAACCGCCTGAGACATCCCCGCAAACTCGCCGCGAACGGGCCCGTGCAAACACTCTGGTTGCTCCACTCTGGGGTGCTGAAACCAGCGCCCCGCCTGAGACATCGTCAGAATCTGCGCTGGAAGCCAAGGATGTTGGACATGACGACGAGAATCTGCTGAAGACATCCCCCAACACTGGCCGCTTACGGCGTACGGGCCCGTGCACACACCCCTGGCGGCTCCCGTTAGGGGTGCTGAGACCAGCGCCCCGCCTGAAAGCCAAGGATGTTGGGCATAGAAACGAACAAACCGCCTGAGACATCCCCACAAGCTGGCCGCGGACGGGCCCGTGCAAACACCCTTGGCGGCTTCCCTTCGGGGTGCTGAAACCAGCGCCCCGCCTGAGACATCCTCAACATCTGCTATGAAAACCAACGATGCTGGGCATGAGAACTAGCAAACCGCCTGAAGCATCCCCCCAAACTGGCCGCTTACGGGCCCGTGCGAACACCCCTGGCGGCTCCCCTTAGGGGTGCTGAAACCAGCGCACCGCCTGAGACATCCTCAAATCTGCTCTGAAGGCCAAGGATGCTGGGCATGAAAACGAGCAAACCGCCTGAGACGTCCCCTACAAACTGGCCGCGAACGGGCCCGTGCAAACACCCCTGTCGGCGCCCTTTAGGGGTGCTGAAACCAGCACCCCGCCTGAAAATGAGTAAGTCTGTGTATGAACAAGTTTATGTATGTGTACGTCTGGGTATGAAGAAGTCTGAGTATGAGTAGGTCTCAGTATGAGTAAGTCTGTGTCTGAGTAAATCTGGACATGTGTAAGTCTCGTATGAGGAGACAAGAAGAGGAGGGGACGAGAAGAGGAAGGAGGAGGACGAGGAGTAGGAGGCGTCCAAGTAATAACCAGAACCCCATCTTAGGATATGGAAGAAAAAAAAACGAGAAATTGTAGAAAGCCGATGTTCGCAACGCAGGTTGTTGTCACAAAATATGAGAAATAATACAAACAACTTTAAAACTAACCAGAACGCAACTTCCACAACTAGAACCACTCCAAAACCGAACTTCCGCGTAACTTACACGCTGTAAAAAAACGCGTTCAACAACTGACTCCCATATCTTCCACAACTTGCACCGTTCAAGTTATGTAACATCTGGCAGATCAAGTTAATATCTGGAAGATCAAGGCAAGATCTGGAAGATCAAGTTAACATGATATACCACACTTTCCCCTCAACTACCAGAACTTGTTGTGCGCATCTCAGCAAGGATCGGGGGGGTGTTGGGGGCCGACGGGTGGTCCTGGAGGCCTCTCGGAGGTCTCTGGAAGCCTCCTGCTCCCGCTCTTGGGCCCATCTTGGGCCTGTTCTGGGGTGGTCTGGGGCTGTCCTGGGCGAGCCTTCGGCAGTCTTGAAACCTTCTTGGCCCGTCTTGGGGCCGTCATGAGGGTCTCTTGGGTGGCCTTGGGGCGGGCTTGGGAGCCTCTTCGGCGCTCTTGGACCGTTGGAAGCTCGAAAACGCAAGAAGCCAAGAACAGAAATAAAACAATGCAAATCGACGATGTTGGCCTCTTCGGGCCGTCCTTGAACGCCTCTCGGACCTCTCTTGGGGTCTCTTGGAGACAACCTGGAAGCCTGGAGAGCCGTCGGAAGGCTGACTTGGGCTGCTTGGGATCGTCTTGGGCCATCCTTTCGCATTCTGGGGGCTGCTGGGAGGCGTCTTGGGTCCTTCTGGAGCGGTGTGGAGGCTCCCCGGAAAGGCCGGGGGAGCGGTACCGGGAGCGTTCCCGAGATGTGGCGGGGAGGTGTGGGACCCGGGGCCGGGGGGGCGGTACTTGTAATATAATGTAGCATATATATATATAGAGAGAGAGAGAGAAAACCATCTCCTCTACCCTACTCTACGCTGCTCTGATCTACACTACGCCATATTATGCCTGGCCCTACTCTGCCATCTACCCTACCCTTCTCTACTCTGCTCCACTCCAACATTATTCTACTCCACCATGCAATACCCCACCTTACTCTACTCTACTAAATTCCACTGCTATTCTGCTCTGTTTTTAAATGTTTTGCTTAGTTCTACTCTATTGAGCAGAGGAAGCCATGCGCATAGCAGACGAGACCATGCGCACACAGCAGAAGCCATGCGCATAGCAGGGGAAGCCGTGCGCGCACAGAGAGAGCCATGCGCATAGCAGAGGAAGCCATGCGCATGCAGAGGAAGCCCTGCACATAGTTTGACCGTGCAAGGGCATGTTTGAGGGGGGGGCTACAGTGGATCACATTGGTTCTCTGGGGATTGAATAAATAGTGCTATTTGGGGAAACGTGCTGGACGACTCTGGAAGGAATTCTCGCGGAGAGGTCGCCGTATACGACTCGCGAGGTTTCCTCAACGCAAGCCCGAGAACCTCTGGCGCGGGAACTTGCCATTCCTGGGGCGGCGGTATCGGTGCCTTGCACTCCCTTTGCCGCCATCGTCGTTGACGTCGCATCGCAGGCGCGGTCCTGCTCGTCCCACAGCTCCAGCCACTGCCGCAGGCGGCGGCGCATGGCCAGCCCCCGCGGAACGGCCCGATGATGGGCCGAGCTCGAGCGTCTCCTCCCTCCGCCGACGCCTCCGCACTCTTTGTCGTCCTCTTGCGTCGGATCCTCCTCCTCCTACCTCCCGCCTGCCTTCGCCGTCACGTCGTCGTACTCCGCCTCCTCCTCATCCCTCTCCCTCCCCTTCTCTGTCCTCTTTCCGTCTTCATCATTCCCTCTGTTTCTCATGCGTCATGTTCGCCCCCGCCCTCCTCGTAGATCCCGATTGCTTTCGCTATCGTTTGCTCGTGCTGTTGATGTTCGTCCCCTTTTCCCTCCCTCGTGCTCATCTTCCTCCTCCTCGTAGTGATCGCACTGCTTCGCTACGGCCGTGTAGTGAACAGGTACCGACGCACATGGGACAACACCCTGCCACGCACTAACACGCTACTACAATACGATGGCCGCTCGCAGGATGATGCGCAAAGCCCTGCTGATCTCTGCCTTGTTCCAGCTCTTCTCCTAATCCTCATGCATCCCATCCGCCTCCTCCGCCTCCTCCTCCTCATCGTCCTGCTCATCCTCCTTCCTTCTTTCTTTCCCTCCCTCGTTCTCGTCCTGGTTCACCTCCTCTGTCTTCTATTCATAATAATTTCCTTTCTATTCCTCTTCATCCTCCCCTTCGATCGCCCAAGATCCCACGAGCCTCAGGCCTGTTAGCAGATTCCGCTTCCGTTCCAAGGAGGGCCTTCAACCTCCTAAGTCTTCCCCACCAGTCGTACTTCCCTTCCCCCCTGCCTCTATACCCATTCTTTTCTTCCTCTCCTCCTCTTCCTGTATCCACCTCCCGAATCCCTTGTGTTCCCCCCTTCTCCTCCACGTCGGTTTCTCCACAACCCCCTCCCGGCGTCGTCGTCGTCGTCCTCCTCCTCCTCCTCCTCAAACTTCTTCTCGTCACCTGCCTCCTTCTCCCTCTCCTCCACCCCCTCAATCGACCTCTCGCTCCTCCGCCTCCAATGTTTGTCCCCGCAACGACGTCGTCGCCGTCGTTGGCGGAACCGTGATCGGCGTTTTTGTTTCGTCTGCGACCCCGCCGCTGCCTTGCGAAGAGCTGGGCCCGCGCGCGCTGCCGTGCCGTCGAACAAATGCTTGTCGGAGCAGGTGCTGGACGACCAATGCCCCGTCCAACCTACGGCCGATCCTTGCAAATCGGCGGATGAGGGATGAGGATGAGGATGAGGAAGAAAATGATGAGGAAGGAGGGGATACGAGGAGAAATTGTCAAAGAGGTATGATGAGATTTTCTGCACTGTTTCAGATTGTGTTTCTGTCTTCAGGGCACCGGGAATCAACATACGGATACGAGGAATACTAACATTAAGAAGCCGAAGAGGACAGGACGCAGCAACACGCTGAGACGACAGAGCGAAATGCAAAATATATGTTTTCCAGCAGGGGGGGAAGGGCAGGGGTTAATTTGCGCGCGCTGTGTGGAGGGGGCCAGGAAGGAGATGGCACAACTTTGAAATTCAGATTTCTGGGCCAAGAAGGTTTGCCAGGTAGCGTCGGCAATCCCCGGGGCGGGCTCGGGAATTGCAGGGCGGCCGTGGGCGGAAGATGAGATATCGACTCCGCAGTCAGTGCTTGCAGTGGAGGGGTCCCGGTGGAAATGTCATGCCACTTTCGGCACGCGGCCATGTTCCCAGGTTTTTCGAGTTCTGGACCCTCCAAGACGACGTTCCAGGGCCCCAAGATAGGCCCAATAACAACTAACATAAAAACACGCAGTTGCCCTCTCGCGTGAGATTGTTGTAGCTCTACTGACCCCCTCTTGGGATCCTTTGAGGCCCACTTGGACGGCACCAAGGGGGGGGGTTCGGAGGGCCCCGGGAGGGCCCCGAGAGAGGCCCAAGAGGAGTCAGCATGAAGTCAAAGGAGAGCCCTCTCAGATGACTTCATCTTGTCTTCTCTTGAATCACTCCTGGGTCCTCCCAGGTTTCTGCTCGCGATCTTCGGAGGGTTTAGGTATAGCTTCAAGATGCTCCCAGCAGGCTTTCCGAAACGCGGCGCCACGAACCTGCAGAAAATCCTCTTCTTGAAGCCGTCTTGGAGCCTTCTGAGGGGCCCGTTTCCGAGTCCGCTCCCCCTCTTTTTTCCACTCTGGCCCCTCGCGGTTCACGCGTCACCCCATGCCCTCTACCTCGTCCCTTCCTCCCCCATTCCTTCGCCCCGCTCCTGTTTCTTTGCTTGTTCCGTTGGCCTGGCGTCAACCGTCAATGGGTCGTCGCGTGAAAAATATATATTTGTAACCCCGCGAGTTCGGTGGCGGCGTGTGCTTGTTGCCCCCCAGAAGACAAGCGAAACAGCAAGGGGGGGGCGCGGAAAGAAATGACGACCGAGAGAAAGCATCGCGATGGCTGCAACAAACTCCCAAGAGGCCCCCAGGAGGCCCCAAATACATTCAAAAACTGTCTCCACGACGCCCCCGAGGAGCCACCCACGAGACCCCGTCAACCATCCGAACGGCCTCAGGCCCGCAACCCAGGCACGGTGGCGGGATGTGCCGAAAACCATGCGATAATCACTCGTCGGGTGCGTTGACAGATGCAATCCGTCTGTACACGTGGGTCCTCGCCCGCTTCCCCACGCGTGCCCATTACCATGTGACGTACCCAACCAATTTGCATCAAGTGGCAAGAGGATTTGGCACAAACTTGCCAGGACAAGCAAGCTGCATGGCATGCGCTCACGTGGCGCGAGTCACACGGCAACAACAAAAACACATACAAACGAATGAGACCGAAGAGCGTTGCCTTGGTCGGTAGTACGCTAGAGATGCAGCGCTGTCTGTGCCATGTCGCCGCGGCGCTCGAAACAACTACGATTCCTGCTATAGTTAGCGCAAGAGACGCGCAACCGCCGCCGCGGCAACACGTGCCAGGAATGGCGAGGTCTCCTGGTGGTCCGTGCAAGACGCCACTCGGCTGGACCCCCCAGCAGCCCTTTGCAGTGGCAACAATTTCGCATATCGCATCCCCCACAAGGATGGCGATGTCTCCTGGTGGTCTGGGTAAGACGTCACTCCGCTGGACCTCAGCCGTCGAAAGCGGCGAAGGTTTCGCAGATCGCACCCCCCAGAAGGATGGCGAGGTCTCCTGGTGGTCTGCGTAAGACGTCGCTCCGCTGGACCCCACGGAAGCCCTCGAAAGTGGCGCCAGTTTCACAGATCGCAGTCCCATACGAATGGCGACGTCTTATCTGACACTGGGTAAGACGTCACTCCGCTGGACCCCCCAACACCCCCCGAAAGAGGCGCCAACTTCACAGATCCCAGACCCAGAAAGATGGTGAGGTCTACTGGTGGTCTGGGTAAGACGTCACTCCTCTGGACCCCCCAGCAGCCCTCGAAAGTGGGGACAATTTCACAGATCGCTGCCCCACAGGAGTGGCGAGGTCTCCTGGTGGTTTGGGTAAGACGTCACTCCGCTGGACCCCCCAACACCCCCCGAAAGTGGCGCCAATTTCACAGATCACAGACCCAAAAAGATGGCGAGGTCTCCTGGTGGTCTGGGTAAGACGTCATTCCGCTGGACCCCCACCAGCCCTCGAAAGTGGGGACAATTTCGCAGATCGCAGCCTCACAGGAGTGGCGAGGTCTCCAGGTGGTCTGGGTTAGGCGTCACTCCTCTGGACCCCCCAGCAGCCCTACCTCTAAAGTGGCGACAGTTTCGCAGATCGCAGCCCCACAGGGATGGCGAAATCTCCTGGAGGTCTGGGTAAGACGTCACTCAGCTGGGCCCCCCAGCAGCCTTCGAAATTGGCGACAGTTTCACAGATCCCGGTCCCTGAGGGAGGGCGAGGTCTCCTGGTGGTCTGGGTAAGACGTCGCTGGCGAAATTCCAAAGGCCCCCCACGAAGCCCCAACAGAATTCCAAGAAGCCCCCAGAAGGCGCGCGCGAGGCCTTCAAGAACCACGCGCAACAACCGCCTGTTCCCCAAGGGGTCGGCGGTGTAGCGCAAGCCCAAGGATGTTATCGATACCTGAATTGCTGGTAGACGTCTGGTGCCCATCCGCCACCGTGCCCTAAATCACTACTTGGATACTCGGGGTGTTCTCAGGCCCCGTGGAATCCCCCCCTCAGCCTTGAGTGAACACGTGCCAGGAAAGGCCCGCGCCCCCAAATTCCGAGGACAAGGGATTGTGGAGTATACGGTCTGTTGAACGCTGTCGTCCCTTTTCTTTGCGTTGTTCTTCTCTCTGCTTTCTGTTCGTGCGTGGGTGGTGGGCGCGCGTGCGCGGGCGTGCGCGCGTGGGGGATTCCTCTCGCGTCGCGGGGCCTCTTGGGAGCCTCTTGGAGGCCTCCTGGGAGTTTCTTTTGGCCTCTTGGGGGCTTCTTTGGGGCCTTTCCCCCCTCCCTCCTTTTCATACACCCTCCCCATCTTCCCTTCCAGCGCCGGCTCTAATCATGGGCGCAGTGACCATGATCAACTTCCACCTGGCTGGCGCTGCGCCACAGTTCGCCCAGAGGGGGGGAAAGAACATTACACTCCAGTCGCTGTGTGGCCTTTTGGGGGGTTTGGGGGGGGCCTTTTGGAGGCTTCTGGGGGACATCTTGGAGGCTTCTTGGGGGCCTCTTGGGGCCTCTTGAAGGCGTTTTGGGCCGTTTTGGTGCGCTTTTGCACCGTTTCGCCCCCTCGGAGGCAGTCTTCGGGGCCTCTCGCGGCCGCATTGGAGCCCTCTTGGGGTCCTCTTGGGCCGTCTTCGCGGCCTCTTGGACCGTCTTGGGGGCCTCTTTGGGCCGTTTTGGGGCCCTCTTGGGCCGTCTTGGGGCCCGCTTGGGGGCTTTTTGGGGTGTTCTGGGGCGGTTCTGGAAGCTGCTTGGGCCGTCATGGATTTTTGAGTCGAAAAAGCGAGAACGCTAAAATATTACAACAACCATGGGAAAATCAATGATTTCGGCATCTGGAGGCGCAGTTGTGGGCGCTCTTGGGGCCCTCTTGGGCCGTCCTTGGGGCTTTGGGGGCCCTCTTGGGGCCGTCTTGGGGGCCTCATGGGCCCTCGTTGGGAATATCTTGGGCCGTCTTGGGGCCGTCTTGGGCCGTCTTGGGGCCATCTTGGGCCATCTTGAGGCCCTCTTGGAGCCCGAAGAGGCCGAATTTGTTGATTTCCCAATGGGTTTTTGAATGTTTTTACGGCCCCAGAAGGGGGCGACCATTTTGGTACGGCGTTGTGGCGCGGCTCCCAGGGGGGGTTAGGGGGGAAACATAATAATGTAACACAATACAGTAAGTTGCAATTCTGGAATCTTTGGACACATTGGATACGTTGCATTAAGGCGTTCGCCGAAAAACGCTGCCGCTCAGCACGTCACCTCCGGACGTGGATTATTGGGCTTGCGCCGCGCCGCCGACACCTTGGATGAATGGCGGCTGCGGCGCGTTGCTTCCGAGGGCCTCTTGGGCACCTTCGAGTGCAATATTTATATGGAAAATCGCCAATTTGACCGCCCCTGTTAGTTTGTCCTTGCACGGGTGAGAACGCTCCCGCCCTTTCGCATCGTCTCTGGGACGCTGCACAGAGAAAAGAAACGCCATTGGTCCAACGGCGTCGCGAGCGGCCCTGGCTGTGGCCACTGAGCTGGACAGGCGCCCCCCCCAGGACCAGCGGGTCGACCCAGCGCAGTGGGGGGGGGGAAGGAGGGGGACGGTGAAGAGAACTGCATGGCAGCCTGGCATTGCCACGCACCTGCGACGTAGCGGCGCCCGTCGGAGGCCACTCGGGTGGCAGATGGAGTCTCGTGGGAGGCGTCCCGATGGCGTTGCGGAAACAGTGTTTGAATATTTTGGGGGCTTACCGAAAGCCTCTTTGGTGTTTCCTCGTGCCATTTGGAGTTCCCTGGGGGGCCTGTTGGGTTTTTTGGGGGCAGCCGAGGGGCGTTGTAGGATCGGAGGCTTGACCCCTTCTTGGGGCTGCTCCGCCCCCCCCCCCCCCCCGGGCCGTCGTGAGGTTTCTTGATCGGTTTGGGGGCCCCTGGGTCGTTCGGGAGTCCTCTTAAGGGTCTCTTCGGCCGTCTTGGGGCGACTCAGAAGGCTCATTGGGCCGTCCTGGACGCTATCAATGCACAAAGAGGCGATACTGTAGTACAAATGCACGCGATCCAAAAACGATGGGGGGATGTTTTGCCTGAGGCCGTCGTGGGACGCTTCTTGGGTTTTCTTGGGGGCGTTTTGGGGGCTGTTTGGGCCGTCTGGAGGCCAGCGCAAACGTTTTGGATCGATCATTCGGCGGCTCGAGGCCCTCTTGGCCAGTCCAAGGCCCTGTTGGCCTGTTTTGGGTCCCTCTGCCCCCCCGCGATGCGTTCGGCGGGTAACCACCCCCGCCTCCCCCTCCCCCCCTCCACATCGACCGGACTGGGCTACCGGGGGAGGGATTTGGGGAGGGGGGAGGATCTAGCGCGCCGATGAACGCTAAGGGGTCGGCGGATTGTTCCCCACCCCGCCCACCCATTCCCTCACAATCTTCGCACACACACACACATGTGCACATATGTTTGTCCGTATGTGTGGATGTATGTGTACGCATATGGTTACGTGTATGTGTATGTGTATGCATGTAAATATAAGCACATACATACACACCCATGCGTGTGTATGTATATATATGTGTTTATGTATGTATGTATGTATATATGTGTATATATACGTGTATTATGTGTATGTGACTGCATGTGTGTGCTACACATATCCATGTATGTACATATACACACATAAACAAACATGTATACTCATATATATATATGTATATACAAACACGCGTACAAACAATCAGGGCGTCCGCTTTCGCCGGCACAGCCAAAGTGGGGTTCTTATGTTATCTGGACACATCGCGCAGTCCTCTTCGTCTTCTTGCTACTCCTCCTCACACCCTCTTCTCTGGCCACCATCCTCATCACACACACACCCATCCATAATCATCTACACCTTCTTTCACACACACACACACTCATTCATCATTCCCATCGCATCACATCCGCACACCTCCTCATCAGCGTCGCTATCACCAACTCATCACCGTCGTCCATGGTGACGTTTGCCACTTTGCCCGCCGCCAGGTCATGTAGTGAGAGAGCTGGTCCACCAGCAGCAGGGGCTGGAGCAGCGGACTACACGGGCACGGGCGAAGTGCGGAGGTTGGCCACCCATACGTGATGCTGTTTGATGAGGGGCGCAGACTCGGTCGAGAGGTCGTTGAATAATATATCCTGCGTGCGAACTCCTTCCATCCATTCATTATACCTATGGCAAGGTAGCATATCATCTTCTTGCCTGGCTGCGTAATCCCACGATGCGTATCCGAAAGTGATCTTGGGGCGACTTGGGATGTGGCTTCACCCTGGGCGTGGAGAAGTCAGCCTTGGACTGATATTTCTAGGCTGTTGCTTCATCCCCGTCTCGCGTGGCAAGGGAGACGAGCACCTGGAGCTCCCTGGACCCCAGCGGCCCTGACGCAGAGACAGGCGTTCCCGAGCCCGCTCCCCCGAGAACGACGAGCTGCTGAGGACCAGATGGGAGAGCTCACCACATGCCAAAGGCGACGCACCCGGGAGGCACAAGCTGCCGAATCTGAGATCAAACACCAAGCGGACCACGCAGAAACGCTGGCGTTGGGGATTGACGCTCCACTCCGCAATGCTTGCAAGAGGTGGAACTGGGCGAGGTCTTGCCGCATCCGCACTGCCCGCGTTCGCTGCTGTAACCGAACTGGCCGCCGTAGTAGCGCGGCTGAGCCTGGCGCCGCGGCGGAGGAGGGCTTTGCCACGGGAGTCCCCCATGGCCTTTGCCGCCGCCACCCCCCGCAGCCGCGATGGCGAGACATGAAAGTGGAACGGAACGTTCAGATTGGCCCGCTAACACCAAGTAGAATGACACTAACAGCGCTACTCGAGCGCAAAAGGGCTAGAGTCAGGGATTGGGAAAAGGAGAAACACAGAAAGAGAGAGAGAGAGGGAACGAGGAGCGAGAGAACGGTACAACTGAGAGAGAGAGAGAGAGACAGAGAGACAGAGAGAGAACGGGACAACGACGAATTGCATAAGATAGTTTGGCTCATTCCAAGGACAAGGAAGACCAACGGACGATGTCCTCGACAAACAACGGCATGATGCAAACCCCGAGGCGGGCTGAGGGGGCACTGCCCACGCATCTGCACGCTAAATGTAACGCAATGCCGCAAACGCGTTTCCAACAATATCTCATGCCTTTCTGGCCCCTGGCCAACGCCACCGGACATCCCAAACAATGGAACTCAGAACCCTGTCGCACCCTAAATGACAGCACCATGGGCAGCGCAAAATGAAGAGAAGCACGATGGAAGAGCTGCGTTTCCTCTTGCTCCTCCTCCACCCTCCTCCCCCCCCTCCGCCTCCTCCTCCTCCTCCTCTTCGCCCCCCTCCAACCACATCCCGGTCGGAATGAGGAGAGGCCAGACTCGCGGGGCAACGTCGAACACAAACCGAACGCACAATGCGGCACGAAGATCGAGGCCGCCCACGTCGGGCCAGAGTAGGAGTCGAAGGATGGCACCGCCACCAATGTACCACAGATGCGTCGGAGAACCTCGGGCTCCGAATTGTCCTGCAGCATCAAAACATCGGCGATGCGTCGAAATCCCCCGACCCTCCAACCTATTCTGGTCCCAATTCGGCGCCCTGGAAGAAGCCGGAGCCTGAGGATATAAACCTGTCCAAACACGAATCCCAAACCTCCAGCGACTCGATGTTTCGAAACGTGGGACCCTGGTCCCCTCGACCCTTCCCCAAGGCCAACTGTTGACTTGGCGTCTGGACAAAAATCGATGGTCCCAGGGGCTGGAACTGGCCTCTGAATACAATAACATCCAGCCGACCGACCTGAGCCGCCGGAGAACTCGGAAGGAAGCGGTGTTTCTTGACCGCCGTCTCAAGCCTCCGCACCGCGGCTGACACAACAGCGGTGGGGCCAAAAGTGAGATCCATGCGGATGGGTCCGCATGCCCTCGCATGGGACCCATGCGGAGTTTAAACAAAGAGAAGGGGGGAGGAAACGGAGAAAGATCGATGACCAAGTGCCGTGTTTGGCCGGTTAGCCCTCATGGCTCCCTGGGGGGCAGCCACCTGCGCAAGTCCTTCCACTTTCGTTGCAGACGAGACTTCGCGACTTCTGGCGGGGGGCGGCCATCGGAGCAGATGTGGGAGGCTCGGCGGAGTGGTGCCCTACCCACATCCAAGTAAGATATCGAGGCTCTCTGCGGGCCTGCCAACTGCGCAGCTCTCGCCAGGTGCGTGGGCTCCTCGGAGGCGCAGCGGGATGGTGTTCTGTGCACATGCAATCTGCACCTCGCGACTCCGTGCAGGGGCTGCCACCTGCGCAACAATTGCCGCTTTCGCGATCGTAACAGAGGTCCAGCGGGGCTGCGAACTGCGCCACTGCCGTACCTTTCGTAGACTCCTGGGAGGTCCTGAGAAATGACGTCTTACGGGCGCCCGAACGAGACCTCGCCCTCCCCGCGGGCATGCGAACTGCGCAATTGTCGTGACCCTCGTAGACTCCTGAAAGGTTCAGCGAGGTGACGTCTTGGGATTCAGACGAGACCTCGCCCTCCCCGCGGGGCTACGAACTGCTCAACTGCCGTGACTTCCGTGGGCTCCTGGGAGGTCCGGCGGAGTTGGAGTCTTACGCATACCCAAACGAGACCTCTCCCTCCCCGCGGGGCTGCGCAAATGTCGCCACTTTCGTTGGCTCCTGGGTCACGTCTTACGGGGACCCAAACGCAACCTCGCCCTACCCGCGGGCCTGCGAACTGTGCAACTGTGGCAATGTTCGTGGGCTCCTGAGAGGCCAAGCAGAGTAGGAGGACACGCGGATCTAGTCGAAACCTTGCGGCCCCATGGAGGACTGCCAACTGCGCAACTGTCCCCACTTTCGTGGGCTCCTGGGAGACCTCGCGGAGTGGGGTTACACAAAAGTCCAATCGAGACCTCTTCGGCGAAGCGTTCAAGGATACAGCGTGCCCCTCATTGTGTTCAGTAGTCGCCTCATGATTAGCAAGGGTTCGATACATATCGGGGGATTCAACTTATTCGTGCCAAGAGGCGGCACCATGCCCAATGATATCCCAAAGCAGCCCAAATCGGATCCTGGTCGGCCTCAAAACAACACAATGCCTCGAACAAAACGGCCGCAATCCTGTCTCAAGGCATTCCGAAATCGCTCGCGAGATTACCCATGCCCTGCAAGCTGGCCGCAAGAGCCTCCAACAAGGCCTGGCAGCACATTTCCGAAAACTGCACCCCATCCCCAGACAAACCTCCTGAAACCTCCTGTTCCTGTGAGCCCCTAATTCCCCGATGTCGCGTGCCTTGGCCCTCTGCGCCGTTGGGAATTCATCTGCCCCGGGGACACCTTCCCTCCGCTTTCGAAACGAGGTGCTACATGTTACTTCTCTGTACTTTGAGATGTTGGGAAGAGACACGTCACATGTCACATGTCATCTTCCTGCTACTATGTTCAATGGAAAAAATTCTATCCAAAAAAATCCCCGGACAACCCCCAGGACAACCCTTCCGATGCTGACACCATAGGCGTGCCAGCATAGAACTCTGGCCAGCAGTCGGGCGATGCACCATTCCCAATCATGCATGTGGTTGGGCATGGGAGGATGTCTCAAGTAAGGCTAGCTCGACCACCTCATGCCGAGGCGTCCCTGAGCCCCGAGTTGCGGGGATGTCTCAAGCGACCATGGTTCGACCACGTTGCGCGCGGCATGAGACCAGAGTTGGCAGGGTGTCTCAAGTGAGACACCCTGGACCACCTCAAATGAGGGCATCGCTGAGCCTGGACTTGCAAGGAGATCTAAGGCGAAACTGGCCAGACAGTCTCTCGCGCGGCATCTATGGACCCAGACGCGCGAGGACGTCTTAGGCGACTCTGGCTGGACAATGGCACATGCCTCAAGCGAAGTGGTCCGATTTGGCACGATGAGCCCTGATTTGGCACAATGCCTCAAGCGAAGTGGTCCGACCACCTCGCGCGCGGCATCTGTGAACCATGAAGTGGCAGGATGTCTCAAGTGAGACTGGCCTGACAATCGGGGCATCTCTGAACCCGAAGTTCTGAGGATGCGTCAGGCGGAATTGGCTGGACCACGACGCGCGGGGCATCCCTGAGCTCCAAAGAATGGGAGGATGTTCCAAGCGAAACGGACCAGAACGCCTCGTCCGCTGGATCATGGCTTTCCAGGTGAGTGCGTTTACCTGCGCAATGCTGCTGCACTAAGACAAGACCACGGATCCCGGACAACCCCTTGGACAACCCAGCGGGGATCCGGACAACCCCGCCGGACAACCCCCCTTGGACAACCCTCCCAATGATTTTTTCCATAAGATATAGTTAATATATCGTGGTGCCTCCCTCTCCTTTTCCTGCTCGGCCCTCGACGGGAACAACAAATTGCATAAGCATAAGTTTGCGGAGGTCCGCGCGGATTGCTCGGATCGTCGCTAGGGCCACCTGGCGGCGCGCGCGCCGCGCGGCAGGGAAGGGGGGGGGGGGTAGCACCGATCCAAGAGATCCCCGTGGAACTCCAGAAATTTGTGGTTATGCCACGGATTGTTGAGAGGTCCTCCTCCCCATCCTCTCCGTCTCCCAAAGAAGCCACATATACCGATACCGCCACTCCTGGGCCTTTTCTCGGGGTGCGCTCGGGCCAGAATGTCGAAGCGAATCCAGTGGTGGCGACAATCGCACCCCAGGGGGCCGACAAAAAGGGAAACAAAAGGCAAGTAACAGTATGGAGACCGATTCCTCTTCTGACTTCTATCGTCCTCATCGGCCATCCTCATTCCTCCTCCCCGCCAGGGGGGAAGGGATGGGGCCGTGCCCGGCTTTGGCGACGAGGAAGGAACGCTGGAAGAGGGAGAGGACAGGAGGACTAGGGAAATGGATGTAAGAGGTGATGGATACAAAGACGAAGCTTTTCCGTGTTCGTCATTAAGGCAAGTGCGACGGCGACGAAGGCTGGCACGGTGCACGGATAAGGCTTTGAGCTATAACAGCGACGAGAGCAAGCACGGAAAAACCGAAATGAGCAGAGCGGGTGCCGTCCAAGTCTGGTGCTCAAGCCAGTCCGTCGTGCCTTTCCCGGCCCCGAAGCGAAGACCGCACAGGAACCCACGGTGTGATATTCAGCTGGGGTGTTCTGCTGACTGCCCCCCACTACAGGACAGCTGCAAGAAGGGGGGTCCACAGACCGCCCCTGCACGAACAGTTGCCGCACGCGTTGCTTAGGGTTCTACTGCCCGCCCGTTCCATAAGACAAATGCCAGCCGCTGCATGGGAAAGAGGACTGGTGGAGAACAACTAACCTTCTGATCCTGCTCAGCTATCACAACGATTTGGAGCGGTACCCGCTTGCATGCTCGACTTCCGCACTACTCTCGCCATCAATGCCCGCAACCTGATGATGCGGAGGTCGACCCTGTAACGCAGTCACAAAGGTCGCATGTTGACTGTGGGGTGGCAAGTCTATGCTGGGAGCTCAGGGCGGCCTTCTTCCACTTCTCGTCGCTATCCTTGACCGTATCATGGTGGTAACTCATTGCTGATTTGGCCGCCCATCATGCTGGGGATGAACTTCCGGCCATGCTACCCTCGGTCATGGGGTCGGCCCGTGTGCCCCGAACGTCGCGCGAGATCAGGTATTCGATGTGATTGCTGCGGCGCCGGCCAACCATTCACCATGGGTGATCAGACAAGCTGTTCTCGGAAAGCGGCCGCGCTTGATCCATGAGAAGGGCGCTGAAAACGGACGCGCCAAAACTGTTGGGATCGCGCTACCACATTCCTCCCGTCGCGCCTAGATCTCCTCGGCAGAGACGGGGCCGGGCACCGTGTCGCGCCGCGCGAGGAGGCGCGGCTGCAGTCCGTCCGCTGCGCCGCATGCTTCGAGCAGATCTGCGCCAAACGAAGACCTGCAAAGCAGCTTGTGCGATCGGCCCAATGCGTCCAGCAAGTGCCGCGCTTGCTTGCCAGCGCAACGGCGCTTGCCGAGACGGAAATACACGGCCCCTGGCATGCCGCATTCTGTCTCGTCGCCCCTCTTGAACGATCCGTCGCTGCGCGCGCTGAATGGCTCGGTGCGCCCCGCCGCTGGAAATGCGACGCGTGTCTTGATGTTCTGCGCGGCCAGATCGACGGAGTAGAGCAGCGTCGCGCGACGGATGGGGGGCTTGTTCTTGGCTCTCCATAGGGCGACGATGCACGCTGCGACGCGGCGCCCGGCGAGCGGGGCGTAGGCCGCCGCTACCAGGAGGGAAACGCATCAGCCTGGAGGCTGGCCAAAGCCCGCCTAGGCAGCCTTAGCCTTGACAAGATCGACGTGCCTGATCGGTGCCAGAGCGCCGATGTGCTCGTCCTGGCCGAGCGTTACTGCACCATCGGCGTTGCGGTGCCGGTGTGCCCCGCAATGGGAGATCGTCGTAATTCAGATCGTCGACGTGCTTGGACACCGCGGGCACTAGCAACGAGCCGCTGGCGCTGCGGGCACCGGGCGCCTCGCGCTTGACCTCGAGCACCGGGCCCCGCCTCGCGGGTCTGGCGCAGCGCCCTGGCGAGCGCGGCGCGACGCGGGCGCGCTTCCCGGAGGAGGCTCGGGGCGCATCTTTGCAGCCCGTGCCCGGCTTGATGCAGCGTGGCCACTTGGCCTTCGCGCCGTAGCTCCTGTAGCCGGGCGCCTGCCTGAGGACGGCTGCGCTGCTGGGCGGCAGCGCGAAGTTCACCCCGCGCGGCGCTTCACATTGCTCCTGCATCCCAGCTTAAGTCGCGCCTTGCAAGAACGCCTTCTCGACGCCCGCGGCGACGTGCACCCGGCCAGGGCGACGCGCCGCTTTCGAGGGCGCGCCGCGCTGCGACGCCCGCTTCGCCCCCCTGGCGAACGTCTCCAGGGCCCTGACGCCCGCGTCGTCGAAGCCGCTCAGTGCCGCGCGGCCCAAGTGACCCCGGCAGTCTCGCCACCTGATTTCTCCTGGCGTTTCCACTTTGAAGCACGAATGGAATCCATTGCGCCCCGGGCGCCTTTAGAAGATGGCCGC